AGAGAGAGAGAAGAATGAATATAGGAGGATGAGAAGAACTAGTCAAGCGAGGCCGAAAGGAGCAGCCAGGGGGCAGAAGACAGCTGCTCCAGAAAAGAAGCTCAAAAGGGGAGCTGCCAGCTGTGCCACAGTGCTAGGCATAATGAGGACCAAAGATGGCCATTCCATCTGGCAAGTGGAGGCCACTGGTGACCTGCCAGAGTACCATGGAGTGGACAGGAGGGCAGAGCTGATGAGTGTAGGTTCAGGAGGGACAGGAGTAGAGGCTTTCTGGAACCATAAAGCAGCAAACTCTTTGGATGGCTTTGACAAAGTAGGGAGCAGAGAAATGGAACAGTAGCTGGAGCAAGGGTGCGAGGCCAAGAGAAGATTTAGCACAAGTAAGAGAAACAGCAGCAGAAGTGTAGGAACTTTAAGATACAGGAGAGGAGAAGACTGCTGGACCACGCCCTTGGGGGCTGAGAGGTCGGAGGGCACACATCCTCCACTCCCTCTTGGCCTGTCTCACTCCTACTCATCCCTCAGGGTCAGCACAAAGGTCACTTTCTCAGGGAAGCATTACTGCCCTCCAGTTAGGTCAGTTCTCCCGAGTGCCCTTTCACAGCATGTGATGCTTCTGCTTCACAACACTTCCAAACTCTGTGGGGATATGGAAGCCACGTGAGGGCAGGAGCTGGCTCCATCCCGTCCCCAGCAGCCAGCACACTGCCTAACACACTGTAACATTCGCTGGATATCTGGGAAAAGGATAAATGGTTCAGAGAACAGAACAGAACAAGTTGGAACACACTGCTTGACTTATGCTCCCAAATGATTTAATCACGTTGCAATGACGGACGATGCAGCCACCGGTTGCTGCAAATATTTGGACTTAGAAAAGCTCAGTAGCTTGTTCCTGTTTGGGACTCTGCAGCTTGGCTAATACACAGATCAGTCACATGACCGGACACTGACAGCCTTCTCTTGAAACTGTCCACTATGAACTGAGTGCATTCCATATCATGTTTAGCAATTCATTCATTTAGTGAATACTTGCTGAAAGCATGCGCAGTGCCACATTCTAGGGATGTGTGACTGAGTCAGACCCAGTACCTGTCCTCATGGAGCTTAGGCTAATGTTACATGAGAAAAGGCCTGGCATTAAATGAGGAGACATAAAAGTCAGAGGGTTCTGAGGAGAGAAAAGGGAGAGGAATAAAGCAATCCTCCCTCCACCCCCCCCCTCAATGTCAAGCCTGGAATGGCAGAGCTATGGCCAGGGCCTCTAGATGCCCAGACCTCCTTTCCCTAGTCTCTACCCCTATCCTCCAGTGCTTCCCAAACAGCTGCTTGCCTCTCTGACTCCAGGAGAGAGTAGAACATGGCCTCTTGAGCTGCGTTTGGGGAATTCCCTGTCTGGTAAAAAGGTTGGGATCATGATGGCACAGGCCGCTGGCAGAGATGGGCCCATCACTATCCTCCCCTCTGTTATTTTCAGCTTTCATGAGTTTTCATTCACAAAGAATAACCACCACGTTGCAAGGACCATGAGGCCACTGTGCGTGTCGTGCTGGTGGCTGGGACTGCTGGCCACCCTGGGAGCTGCTGCAGGCCCCGAGGATGGTTTTGAGGGCACGGAGGAGGGCTCACCGAGAGAGTACATTTACCTCAACAGGTATAAGCGGGCAGGCGAGTCCCCGGACAAGTGCACCTATACGTTCATTGTGCCCCAGCAGCGGGTCACGGGAGCCATATGCGTCAATTCCAAGGAGCCCGAGGTGCTGCTGGAGAACCGCGTGCATAAGCAGGAGCTGGAGCTGCTCAACAACGAGCTGCTCAAGCAGAAGCGGCAGATCGAGACGCTGCAACAGCTGGTGGAGGTGGACGGTGGCATCGTGAGTGAGGTGAAGCTGCTGCGCAAGGAGAGCCGCAATATGAACTCACGCGTCACACAGCTCTACATGCAGCTACTGCACGAGATCATCCGTAAGCGAGACAATGCGTTGGAGCTCTCCCAGCTGGAGAACCGCATCCTCAACCAGACGGCCGACATGCTGCAGCTGGCCAGCAAGTACAAGGACCTGGAGCACAAGTACCAGCACCTGGCCACACTGGCCCACAACCAATCGGAGGTCATCGCGCAGCTCGAGGAGCACTGCCAGAGGGTGCCTGCAGCCAGGCCTGTGCCCCAGCCGCCCCCTGCGGCCCCGCCACAGGTCTACCAGCCGCCCACCTACAACCGCATCATCAACCAGATCTCTACCAATGAGATCCAGAGCGACCAGAACCTGAAGGTGCTGCCACCCCCTCTGCCCACCATGCCTGCTCTCACCAGCCTCCCATCCTCTACCGACAAGCCGTCAGGTAAGTCCTTCTGGGCCTCAGAGCCAGGCACTAGGCTTCCCTGGCTGTGACCACAAGTGGGAGAAGAGCCAGGACTTGCACAATCCCTTAGCGATCTCTTGGGACAGCCGCTGGGACCAGTGGGGTGAGGAGGGACCACATGGCTTAGATGGATGCTCAAAGGTACAAGTGGGAAGTAAGGCGTTCCCAAGGGCCTGTGCTTCGCTGGGTTCTGCATGGGATGCTCTGTGTTGGTGGTGAGAATGGCTCTCCTGTGGGCTGTGCAGTGTGCAGAGCAGAGCTGGCATTCTATAAATGTCACCCAAAAACCAGGAGGCTAAGGGGAAGAGCACTGTCATGCTGAAGGTATGATAAACACACCACAGGGGCCGGTGGATGGGATGGGGCACTTCTCAAAGCCCGTGAGCTTCCCACAACCTGCTGTTGCCTAGGATTTTCAATGGGGTTCTTTGGTTTGTTCTGTGGTTTTTTGGTTTGTTAGTTTGAGACAGGGACTTACTATGTAGCCCAGGCTGGTCTGGAATGCGTGATCCTCTTGCTTCAGCCTTCTAAGTGCTGAGATTACAGTTGTGCTCTACCACACCCAGCTCACATAACACCCCCCCACACACCTGTACTGAGGTTTGACCTCTGGTCTTGTACTTGGTCCACTCCACCAGCCCTATGGTTCTCAGGATACATAAAGCAGAAGGAATGGAGGTCCCTGGCAGTAGGGACCAGCACTGGGCATCTTTATGCGTGTTATTTAATTAACCCCAAGCTCCTGAAAGACAGGTTAGGTAACTTGCTCACAGGCTTAGGATCCTTACTTTAAATCTTTTTTTTTTCTTTCATTCATATGTGCATACAATGTTTGGGTCATTTCTCCCCCTTCCCCCCGCCCCTTCCCTATTCCCCCCACCCCCTCGCCACCAGGCAGAAACTATTTTGCCCTTATCTCTAATTTTGTTGAAGAGAGAGTATAAGCAATAATAGGAAGGAACAAGGGTTTTTGCTAGTTGAGATAAGGATAGCTATACAGGGAGTTTACTCACATTGCTTTTCTGTACATATGTGTTACATTCTAAATTAATTCTTCTTGAACTAACCTTTTCTCTAGTTCCTGGTCCCCTTCTCCTATTGGCCTCTGTTGCTTTAAAGTTTCTGCATTAGTTTCTTTGCATTGAGGATATCAAATGCTATCTTGTTTTTTTTGGGTGTCTTACCTATCCTCATACCTCCCTTGTGTGCTCTCTCTTTATCATGTGATCAAAGTCCAATCCCCTTGTTGTGTTTGCCCTTGATCTAAAGTCCGCATATGAGGAAGAACATATGCCTTTTGGTCTTCTGGGCCTGCCTAACCTTGCTCAGGATGATGTTCTCCAGTTCTATCCATTTACCTGCAAATGGTAAGATTTCATTCTTCTTCATGACTTAATCCATTCATGAATCTTAATCCATTCATGAATAGTGGGGCATCTTGGCTGTTTCCATAACTTGGCTATTATGAATAGTGCTGCAATAAACATGGGTGTGCAAGTGCCTTTGGAGTAACCTGTGACATATTCCTTTGGGTATATCCCCAAGAGTGGTATTGTTGGATCACATGGCAGATCTATGTTTAGCCTCACTTTAAATCTTAAGTTGGCTCCTCTGTGCTTGGAGCCTGGGAATCCTCAGTTTGAGGGGTGAGGCCAGAGGCTCCCCTCATAGTACCGGCTAGCCCTGGAAGCTCAGCCCTCCTTCATCAGCTGCCACTGCCTTTTCAAATGTGTGCTGCCTAAATGAGCACTAATCCATTTCTGCAGGCCTAGCACCTATCTGCTTAAGCCAGTACTTGGGACTCTGCTTCACTGTATAAGTAG